GCTATCCTGGGACTTTCTATGTAATATTTTTAGTTCTAGTAGCTAATTAGGGCTGCACTCGTGTGGAACCCCAACTTTTTTCTGTATACCACATTTAGTCCTACACATAGACCACAAAACAGGTGTAGCTTCTGGCGCTGTTAGTCTAGCTATGTTTTTTAGAGAGAAAAAATAGAAACTATACAACAAAAGAGGGCGTGCTTGTTGTAAGTTGTACAAACGGGTCCAGGAGTCGTCAGCCCTAGGAACTGGGGATGTGGCTGTGCTTTGGGGTGGGTCCACACTCTTTTTGTTAACTGTCTCCAATCTCTTAGGCAAAGAACCTCTTCCAGGTTTAGGTTGCCTTTAAGCACACTCCCTTGCACTCCAAGCCACTCAGCAGAAGGGGAAGTGCATAGAGCACTGAGTGACAGGCTAGTGGTATGGTGTGTGCCTTTAGTCTTGCTGTCTTAGTTAGGGTTTCTACTGTAGCAAAGAGGCACCATGAACACAGCAACTCTTGTAAAGGAAAACATTTAATTAGATTGGCTTACAGTTTCAAAGGTTTAGTCTATTATCACCATGGTGGGACAAAGCAGTGTACAGGCAGACATGGTGCTGGAAAAGGAGCTGCAAGTTCTATATCTTGGTCCACATGCAGCAGGAGTCTGTGCTTACACTGGGCATAGCTTGAGCACAGGAGTCCTCAAAGCCTGCTCCCCACAGTGACACACTTCCTCCCACAAGGCCATACCTATTCCAACAAGGCCACCCCTCCTGATAATGCCACTCTCTAAGAGCCAAGCATTCAAACACAAGAGTCTCTGAAGGCCACACCTAACTTCCATGGTTGCCCACTGTACAGGCAAGAGGATTTTAGGGACCCACGAGGTCAAGGCCAGGCTGAGTAGAGTAAAACCATCTCAAAAGAAACAAAACAACCTCCAAAAGATTAAGAATACTTTCCTTCCTGATGGGGGAGAGTAACAACCCAGAGGCCCAGCCCTGGCACCTCTAACAGGAAGCAAACAATGACAGCTTTGTTAAAACTCAAGAAAAGAATCACTGCGTGTTCTCAGGCATAATCCATTCCCTTGAGCTTTTAGTCCAGAAGAGTACTGCATCATGAAAATTGATTTTAAAATATCCGTGTGTATGTTTTGTTATGGTGAAATGTACAAAACGTTCACTATTATCTACCCTTTTTAGTCGCATTGGACAATGACCACTATATTAAGCCTGCCTAGTCACGTTGGGTTCGTCTACAGTGTTAGACAATCACTCCTACAATCCAGGCCCACCGTCTATCCTCCTAAGCAGAAATTTTATACTCACCAAATAATAAGTAACTCCCCCTTTGCTGTGCCCATTGTGCTCGGTGACCTTTATTCTTCTTTCTGTCTCTATGGATTTGTTCTAGGTGTCTCATGTTAATGAGACCATGATCTTAAACAGGTAATGGCTGTTTAAGACAGGTGGGCAGGAAGGAAGAGAAAGCAACAGGGCAGCTGAATACAGCGTCTCTTGCTGGCCTTGCCCTCTCCACATGTCTTGGTGTCTTGGTGTACAGGACCATCCTCCTTTCCCCGACTTCTGCATGGAGGTAACACCATTAGGCTTCATCTGCTCATTATGGAGTTTGTTTCCTCTCATTTCCTGTTTTGCAGCGACTGGTTTCCCCTTCTCTGAGTTCAAATGCAGAGTCAAAGCTCTGCATACAGCACAATAGCTTCTTGTGAACCCTGGCTTAGTATAGTTGGTGTTTTTACTCTTGTTCATTGAGGGACCTGCCACCCAGCTCCCAAATAATCAACACAGAGGTTTATTCTTTCTTATAAATGCCCATCGTTAGCCTGGCTTGTTTCTAGCCAGCTTTTCTTAACTTATATGATCTACCTTTTGCCTCTGGGCTTTTGTCTTTCTCTATTGTCTATTCCTTCCTTTACTTCTTACTTTGTAGCCAGCTGTGTAGCTGGGTGGCTGGCCCCTGGTGTCCTCTCTCCTTATTTCTTGTTCCTTGATCTTCCCAGATATCTCCTTCTGTTCTCTCTGTCTGCCAGCTCTGCCTGCCCTTTCTCCTGCCTTGCTATTGGCTGTTCAGCTCTTTATTAGACAGGCAAAGTAACATAGCTTCACAGAGTTAAACAAATGGTACTTAAAAGAATGCAACATATCTCTGCATCATTACACAAATATTCCACAGCATAAATTGTTGGGGTCCATAGAGATGACTCCACTTCATCTTAAGGTCAGAGAGTTCAAACTCACTATTGCTTGTTCAATGTTAAAAATAGGATATTTGGCCTAAGAAGTAACTAATGGATGTCTTGCTTTAACAACAGGATATTTAGCTTAAGGTGTGGCTGTTGTCTACCTTGCCTTTACAATAGGATACTTGGTTTAAGTTTTGATTACTTGATGTTTTGGGTATTGAGAAGATAATTGTGCTTTTTTTTTAATTCTGTGTAAGGAATTCTCTTTGCCTTCCCCCACTTTTGATTGGGTTTATAAAGACTGTAATAAACTTGAAGTTTTTTGTTTGTTTGTTTGGTTTTTTCTCTCTCCAGTATTCACTGGAATGTCCTCCCCATGGGAAGCAACCCTATGAGAAAACTTTAGTTTTGTCTTTACATACTGTAGGGAGCCGTCCCTGCATTCTTCATTACAAGATGGCGCCTGCATCTGGCTGGCGTTGAGAGTAAACAAGTCAGTGCGCAGGTGCAGAGTGATTTTCCCTCCCTTGGCCTCTGCCTCTCCCGTGGGGTCATATGGGCCGATGGGCTGCAGCCAATCAGGAGGTGACACGTCCGAGGCGAAGGTTGTAAACCTATATAAGGGTTGGGTTTTGGATGTTTGGGGTCTCTGCTCTATAAGCTTATGCTCTCCCTCTCAAGATGCATTAAAGCTTTACTGCAGAAGGATCCTGAGTGTGCCGCATCGTTCTTGGTGACGAGATGGTAGCGCGGGACAACATACCAGGAACTATGGGGCCCTTTTGCATCCCAGCAATCCGCCACTGACCCGTGTATCCCTAGCCTAAGAGTCTTTTTCTTAACTAGCACTTCACTTACTCTGCCATTTGGCAGTTGCTTTTTCCCAGTGCTGGGTACTGAACCCTTTACTATGGAGCCTCACCTCCATCTTCCAGAGCATTTGCTTTTACTTTTTGATTAGTGGTGTACCTGGCAGAATTAACTCCAGGCTGCAAAGGCTCGATTTGGCCCACAGGTTTAGAGGGGTTTCAGTGTCCAGGTCAGATGGCAGGCACAACTCTTTCTGCCGGGAAGATGGAGGCAAAGAAAGGTTCATTGGTGTAGGAGCGGACCAGGAAGCAGAAAACTGTGGAATTAGGGCTTGGCTACAAACCTGAAAGTCCCATTCTTAGTGACCTACTTCCACCAGCTCAGTTCTGCTTCCTAAAAGTTCCAGAGTTTCCCAAAATGTCACCAGCCACTGAGGGAACAAGCTTTCAAAACACGAATCTGGGGGAGACATCTCAGATTCAAACCTTAACACCATTTTCTTCTTCATGGCATTCACTGTTGCTAAGATTCTCTCTCATGCCCCATCCTGTGACTTCTTTCAGTTAACCCTGAAAGAAGGTTGCCACATGGCGCCCTTTACTTTATTCATCTGCCCATTTGATGCTCCCTAGAAATTGGACTTAGGATCTGCTGTCAGCTACACCTACCTTAAGAGTCTGACTGTGCTGTCTAGCTGTGTGGCCTTAGAGGAGTTATTAAACAACTCTGTAAGCCTCAGACTCCTTATTTTCGAAGCAGGAGCAATGATTTCTTACAGGGATGTTTTAAAGAGGGCTTAAAACAATTAGCAGGCACAGCAGATGAGCAACAAATAGCAGTACTAACATTGTTTATTGACTTTTCTTGAAATAGTCTTACTGTGTAGCCCAGGCTGGCATCAAAGTTGCATTCCTCCTGTCCACACTTGCTTCTCTTTCTGACTTTTTAATGTAAGTTTTTCCTGGTAGGTGTTCAGTTGATGCAGAGTCTTTCCAAGTCTAACCCAGTATAACTCCCAAACAAACTGGTCACAAGGTACGGGGAGAATAATGACCAGCAGCTAATTAATATTCAGAGGACATTTTCATTCTTTCTTTCTTTCTTTCTTTCTTTGTTTCTTTCTTTGTTTCTTTCTGTCTGTCTGTCTTTCTTTCTTTTTTATTTTTTGAAAATTTACATTTGAAACAAGCTTGTTTTACATGTCAATCCCAGTTTCCACACCATCCCATCTTCCCCTATCACCCCCACCAAACCCCAGCCCATCCCCTTTCTGCTCCCCAGGGAGGATGAGGCCTTCTATGGACAGTCTTCAAAGTCTGTCATATCATTTGGAGCAGGGCCCAGGCCCTCCCCCATGTGTCTAGGCTTAGAGAGAGCATCCCTCTAAGTGGAATGAGCTCCCAAAGTCCATTCATATTCTAGGGATAAATACTGATCCACTACCAGAGGCCTCATAGACTGCCCAGTCCTCCTAACACCCACATTCAGGGGCTCTGGGTTAGTTCTATGCTGGTTTCCCAGCTATCAGACTGGGGTTCATGAGCTCTTCCTTGTTCAGGTCAGCAGTTTCTGTGGGTTTCTCCAGCCTGGTCTTGACCCCTTTGCTCATTACTCCTCCCTCTCTGTAACTGAATTCCAGGAGTTCAGCTCAGTGTTTAGCTGTGGGTGTCTGCTTCTGCTTCCATCAGCTAGAGGACATTTTACTGGTTTCTAATTTCCTCTGAAGAGGCAACAACTAGTTAAGTTTAAACCACTCTAAACCAGGATGTCCCAGGCTCTGGGGTTTTTTCAGAAACGCTACACAAATAATCCAAAATCTCGTTGTATCTGCTCCATAACCTGGAAATGATAACGGACAAAGCCAAAGAACCACCGGGAGTGATGAAGAGAAGGAGCTTGCAGAGAAGCAGAGAAGGAGCCTTGGGATGCTGGGACTGTCTAAGGGATTAAAGGTCCCAATCCTTTCCCCAGAGACCACCCAGCGCCACCTAGAGGGGCTGAGCGCGGTTGCTCGTGCAGCTGAGACAGGAGAACTTTAGGTTTCTATTGGTGAAAACTTACTGTATTCGTTGGCAGCTTCTCTCTGCACCATCAGAACCTCGGGAGCTGTTGGCCGCACACCAACGAGGTGATCCGGACCTGCCGCTGCTACTTGGCAAGGTGTCTACTGGGTGGATATAACGGCCCAGAGGCGCGGGCAAGCTGCGGTTCGCCAGAGAATAGCTGACTTCAGCGCTGACACATCCGAGCAGGGAAGCTGCTGCTTGCAAGGTGGGGGCTGGGAGCTTATTTGTGACAGTTTGCTTTGGAGCTTATTTCAGCCGGGTGTGTCGGGTCGGTGGCGTCCGAGGGCAGAGTGTAGCCTCGAGGCACAAGTCCAGGGCGCCCACTGGGTGGCACGTCCCAGTGTCCCCGCGTTCCCGCTTGCAGCCGTAAGCTTCGCTTTCCCGGGTCTCTTCATAACGTGGGCGTCACAGGCAGCGGGAAGCGAAGATCACTGGCGTCCCGGCAGAGTCCTTGCTGCATCTGGGTCCTCGCTGTGACCTCTGTCCCCAACGCAGTGACCCCTTGAAGGCGGCCGGAGCAGCGCAGGCGGGCTGTATTGGCCTGGCTGCGGGAGGCGGGGCACTATGAGGATGAGAGCGCAGGAGGCCGCTGGTCTAGAGTAACCAGTTGTCCTGGATGTGGTCAGGAAACTGTTGTGGTTCCTAGGGGTGTGTGGGAAGGTGTTCCTGGGGGAGAAGGGAGCTTTGGCGGTGTGACTTTGAGGGGTGGGGGAGTGCTTTTTGGGGGAGGGGAAAGGCCAGGGGAGGGGTACTGTTGGCCAAATGTCACCATTGGGGCAGTAAAGAGCCTGAAGTCTTTTCAGTTCCCCATAGGCCCTTACTTGAATTGTGAGAATCCCATTCTCACCCAACTGCCCTAGACTTGACAAGGTGGCAGAAAAACATTTGCCATGTAAGCAAGCACACCTGCCCATCTGAGGTCCTTCCACCTGCTGACCTGGAACTGGAGTGATTCCTGACCCAGCCCACCGGGCCACACCAGTGCCAGCTTGCAGAGGATTCCCTGTGGAATCGAGAGTGCTTGAGAAGGACTATTACCCTAAATGAGCGCTTTAGCGCAAAAGAGACTGTACTCTGGAGCTGCCCCTACCGCGCGCCAGTCCCAGAGCTCAGTGTGAGATTCAGTTGAAGTTGTACAGGTGCAAGAAAGCAAAGGACTGGGAACCAGTTAGCAAACTTTGGGTTCCTTAGACCAGCCCCAAGGCCAACTGCTTGTCAAGGCACTTCCTTGTGAGGTGAGAGAGCCCAGGTTCCACTTCCCAGAGAGTCTGAAAGATAAGTGAAGGCAGGGAGTGAGGTATACTTAGAAGGGTGGCCTTTGCAGGAAATGACTGCCACTAAGCCCACAGCTGCTGCCCCAGAGGCCAGAAGAGGCCCTATGCAAGCTTCATCGTTTTGTAACGCCCTGTGACAAGGGTCAAAGCATGTCTGTTTCTCCATCCCCGAAGCTCTTAGTTCCTCTTTAGCTACTTGCCACCTGACACTGCTCCTCACCGCCTCTTATGTCAGATAATAGGAACTGCATCTTCTCCTTCCGTTCCCTAGGGTCTGTATATCCTCGGAGGGGGAGGAGGGCAAGGGACACTGATGGAACTTGAGTGTTATGGAGTGAGGCCTACAGGTGGTTAGTTTTCATTCCATGCTCTTGCTTGTTTTGGAAATTAGATTTGTTTTAGTTTATGTTTTAGTGTTTTGTCTGCATGTATATCCGTGCACCGTGTTTGTGTCTGGCGCCTAGGAAGATCACTGGAAGGCCTAGGATCCCCCACTGTGGGTGGTTGTAAACCACCATGTGGATGCCCGGACTTGAACTTGGGTTCTCTGCAAGGGCAGCAAGTGCTCTGAACTACTGAGCCATTTCTTCAGCCCCCTTGTTTATTTGTTTTTACATAGGCAGTTTCTGTGGGAGCCATGGACAAGTATTCAAGTGGAAACAGCTTCATTTGATAGTGGGAAGGAAGTCAAGTGCTACAGAGTTACAGCCTACTGGTCCATGCCCCTGCTCACCTGAATGCACACACATGACATAAATGACAGATTTGAATACTTTCCCTTGTCACTAACAATAGACTCGTATTACTGATGCAGAGAGATTGGTGTGGTGTGCTGTGTGACTGTTAATATCTAAGCAGTTCTTCTTAAATAAGTATGTGTGGGCTTCCAGAGAGAATAAATCCTTGTACATCTTTTCATCGTGCCCCAAAACAATCTCTGGCTTGTTTGTACATCTTAGTTAAGAGGACCTGAAGGAAGATTCAGAGGCTGAGGAATAAACAAGGGCTCCCTATCTATCTGTCTGCCAGTGCACTGGGACTCGCTCTGCAATGGCCATGCCAATGATAACAAAGTTAACTTAGAGAACACGGTGTGCCAGGCTGAGTGAGGCACACATGCTACAATTCAGTTAGTTCTCACATCAAACTGGAAATTGTAATGGAGCACAGAGAGATCCTGTGCCTTGTTCGAGGTCATGGAGCTCATAAAATCACCTTACTGACTGGGAGGTTTGTGAGTGTGTGTGTGTGTGTGTGCGCGCGTACTATGAACTGATGAGGAAGAAGATGTCAGAAAAAAACTGCTATAGAGAAAGAGTTGGTGAAAGTTGGGGACAGCACACAGCTAGGTGATTAAAAGGTGATGGGTCCACAGGTCGCATCTGCATAAAGACCCAGATGCTGAAGTGATAGAGTGGAGTGTCCCAGGTAGGATAGGGATCATAGAGGTCATAGACTATAGCAAAAGTTGAGACTCTTTCAAATTTCTTACTTATAAGATTTTTTTAATGGCAAGTTTCCACTTGAAAGTAGAAAGAGTAGTGTAATGAATAATGCTCTTTTCTGCCAACTCCGGCAGTTGTCAGTGTGGCTAATAACGTCTTTCTTCTGCATCCATCCCTTAAAGCAATGCAAGAAATCCTGTTATTTCTAAGTCTTTTTGTATGCACCTAACCAAATACACCACAGTGCTTAACAATGGGGCCTTGTTTCCTCTCTGTTAACCAGGCCTCTCTGCTGCTATTCGAAAGACAGGGTACATTTCAGAGTGTGTGGGGTATTCAAGAGACAGGGTCTGCCATAGCTATCCAGAAGGCATCTTCAGATGATGTTTTCTTTGTCATCCTCCTTTCTCTTTCTTTTCTAGACAGTGCTGTGGTGGTGAGTTCACTCTTACTTCCTCTTCATGATATTTTAGGCTCACTTATTCATCACCCCTTTGAATGTTCTACTTCTCTCTCAGTTGATGTTCCTCTGACCCCACTTTGATCCACCAGAACCCTGGTGCTCCTTGGTCTTCTTGAAAGGAGAGGGACACTTCTTCCTATTTCAATACAAACATAGCATCGCTAAGATCAATATATAATTCAGATGCCGTATGACAGTGGATGCCACTACTGTGGCTGCTTTTAGAACACTTTCTTTGACTGCTCACACACACATGGGGGAACGGTCCTGGCAGACCATCCTACCCAGAGTCTACCAGGGTCCTTGTGCCACCTCTACCCATGGGAGGAGGTAAGTGTGGGCTTGTTTCTGGCCTGCCTTCTGGGGCCTCACTCAGAACCTCCTGAGGTCTGGGGACTCCACACACTTTTTGGTGGACCAGCCCATCCAAAGTCTGCCAACATCCCACTCCCACCTCCACCCGCTGGAAGAGGAGAGCCATAGGAGTATTGGACCTGCCCTGCTTGCACCAACTGGAAGAGAACCTTGGTCCTGTACCTGCCAGGAGAGGGAGAGACCCCTCCAATATAAATTGGAAGAAGGGATGTGTAAGGAGTAGGGTTTTTCCTCCTGCCACCTGGTGTTGTCCCGCCGCCACGCCAGCCCTAATTAACACACTGAGACTCTATATTTGATATAATTCTGTTGGCCTGTTACTAGTTTCTTATTGGCTAGCTCTGTCTTAATTATTAACCCATTTCTGTTGATCTATGTATTTTCACGTGGTCTTCTCTTACCGGGGATCTGGCAGGCATTCTGCTTTTTTCAGACTCTCCATCTTGACTCCTCCTTACTACTTCCTCTTTCCTCCTTGTCTCCTAGTCCCTCCTATCTGCCTTTCCTATTGGCCAACAGTGCTTTATTCATTAACTAGTATGAGAAACATATACAGAATGACCTCTCCCGTCAGGGATGGGTAGATGACAGTGTAAGAACACAGTCAACAACAGAAAGAGCAATGTGATGCCACCAGAGTCTGGGGACCACCACACCAGCAAGACCTGAACATCACAACACAGATGAAGCAGAAGAAACAACCCTAAAAACAACTTTATGACAATGATAGAGACCCTCAAAGAGGTAATGAGAAAATCCCTTAAAGGAATGGAAAAAAAGCAAAAACAAAAAATAATTTCAAGAAATGGAGGAAAAGACAAACCAACAATGGCAAGAAACGCTTCAAATAGTACAAGCCTTGAAAGCTGAAATAGAGACAATTAAAAACAAACAAATAAAAAAACAAACCACAGTCTGAGGGAATGCTGGAAATAGAAAAGCTAGGAAAATGATCAGGAACTACAGAAGCCAGCATAACAAACAATACAAGAAATGAAAGAGAGAATCTCAGACACTGAAGATACGCTAAGAGAAAAAGATTCATCGACCAAAGAAAATCCTAAGTCCAACAAATCTCCAACACAAAATACCCAGGAAATAGAGGACAATGTGAAAAGACCAAACCTAAGAATAATAGGTATAGAAGAAGGTGAAGAAACCAATCTCAAAGGTGCAGAAAACATATTCAACAAAATCATAGAAGAAAACTTTCCCAACCTGAACAATGACATGCCAATGAAAATACAAGAAGCTTACAGGACACCAAAAGTCCCCTTGCCACATAATAATCAAAACACCAAGCATACAGAATAAATAAAGAATATTAAGAGCAGCAATAGAAAAAGGTCAAGGAACATACAAAGGCAAACCTATCAGAATTACACCTGACTTCTCCACAGAAACTCTGAAGGCCAGAAGGTCCTGGATAGATATTCTATCAACACCAAGAGACCACGGATGCCAGCCCAGACTACTATACCCAGCAAAGCTTTCAGTCATTATAGATGGAGAAACCAAGATATTCCATGACAAAACCAGATTTAAGCAATATATATCAACTAATCCAGCCATACAGAAAGTTCTGGAAGGGAAACTCCAACCAGAGGAAGTTAACTATACCCACAAAAACATAGGCAATAGATAATCC